ATTGCATACATTCGCATGAAACAAAATCATCAGAAAGTGACATATTTTAAAGTGTTGACTCCGCACTCCCACGGAGATGCCCAAATTGGAAAATAAAGGCATGTCCTCCACTTTCCTAAGGGGCTGGCTGGCAGCATCACACATGAGAGCCATGTTCCTGGCGTTCCGCAGACTCAAGTGCATCATGTATGTAAGGTCTTTTATGGAAGTATCTAGGGTATAGATTCCCCTTGAGTTTGGCGAGTGGAAACTGCCTCCCATCAAAATGGACGTGCAGCCCCCTCAGTGGGACATGCAACCCACTAATGAAATGATTCCTCTGGGTGTGGGCACCTCGGGGTGACTGCCATCCTTGGCTGCAGGAGGGACCTCCGCCAGGTCCTGGAGAGTCTGTCACTCTCCCCAAGTCCTTGGTCCCTCCTTTTCATTTTAGCTGCGTTGTTTGCATGTGTGCAGTGTTATAAATCCGTTCTTGGATGTGGGTGGGGCACACTCTATAAATAAGCACGAAATTGAGGCACCCTCCCTGCAGCACCCCTGGCAAACCCGTCGGCATCCGCCCAAGCCTGGGGCAGATTCCTGCCTCGCTGCCAGCTGCTCTGTTGCCCCTGGGGAAACCTACTTCCTACCAGGGAACTACCTCTCCGCTCCCTCTCCAGGAGCACCAGGACCAACTGCCATCACTTTGGGGCCCACTTGGTGGGTGCCAGGCATTGTTCTAAGCACTTTAGATATGGCGTCTTGTTTGCTGTTCTCCAACCCTCCGGAGTGGGGACTGTCATTATCCTTTACAAATGCACAAGCTGAGGCTACACAGCTTGCATGTAGGTCCACGCCTCCGAAGCAGAGGTGATTTGAACCCCGGCATTGTGGCTTCCACACCTACCCGATTCATCGCTGTCCTAGACTGGCTTTTCCATGGGGCCACACTTCAGAATCTGCATACATCTACCCTTGTCCCCAGAGCCTTCAACAGAAGGGCCACGAGACAGAGCTGAGCATCCGTGGTCATTCTGCCAGTGCCCGCAGCCAGCCTTACCTTTCCCCTACCTCTCTCAGCCCCCGACTGACAGACAAGCGGGCGCACCTTCACGGCTTCTGGTGCCGGACGTTTTACCTTATTTGTTTAATTGCAAACATTCGTATGTTGCAAAATTTCAAACTCTCTGTCTTTTGGTTCTCGATGCAATGCTTCTTGATAAATCTTTTATTGAATAAATCAAAAGATGGGTGGCTGGCCGTCTATGAACATCAAAGGGGCAATGCATTTTATTTAGGTTTACAGAGCTCACCTCTCCCCAGAGCTGGTTACTGAGGCTAAACAAATAGACACCAACAATAGCAGCAAACTGAACCGAACCAAATCAAACCAAACCTTTGTGCCGATGGTCCGCCAATGTCCAGGTATTTCATAAGCAGACCACAGTACACTTGGACCAAATGGCTTCTGGGCAGACATTGACCCCCACGTCGTTTTCCCTGCCTCTTGCTGGTTGACAATGGTCTACCTCTCACCTATCTATTTATGTACACATGGGCACACTTAGTGCATATCCCCTTAGGGACCAGACAAAAGCACAGGCTGAGTAAAGAGATAATAATAGCTCCCTTCCCATTTAAAAGCTAAGCGGACAGCGGCTGCAGGGCCAGACGGCCCCCTCCTTTCTCCACCTGGAACAGACTTAGAGACAGGCCGGGCACTCCAGGCCAGCTCAGAGCCCCTGAGAGATGCCGCTGAGGAGTCCAGCTCCTTAGTAACAGACCGGGTGGGTCCAGCTGAGCCAGGCACCCAGTCCTCCTGGCCCCCGGGAGCACCTGGGTCTCGCTCAGCGGAGGCAGGTGGGAAGCTAAGGTCTCTGCATCAGGACAGCCCAGGAGGGTGCAGGCAGAGTGAGCGGGCGCCCAGCGGGGAGGAGCTTGTCAGCGACAGGCAGGCTCCCAGCTTCCACCCGCCCCTGAACCCCGACGGCGCCTCTCCACGGATCGCATTCCGAACTGCCCCTAGAAGCTGGGGTGAGAGGGTTAGCAGGAGGAAGGCGCTCGGGGAACCCCAGCGAGGCTGCTCCTGGCCCCAGAGGCCGCCGCACTGCGGGCAGTTCCCAGCAACTCCTGCCGCTCCCTGCCCCTGCGCCGGGTACCAGGAACCGGTCAAACTCTGGGGAGACCCCATGTCACCCTCTCTCCCAGCTTGTGCACGGTCTCCTCCCCACCGACTCCCAGCTCCTGTGCCGCGAGCTGAAGCGCCTCCTACCCCGCGCTCCAGCCCCCGCAGGAGCCGAACCGCGCCCAGGTCCCCTGGCGCCAAGTACGCGCGCTGCCTACCTGGTGCCGTCGGAGCCTCGGGCATCGATGCCCGAGCTGGCCCGGCACTGGCCCCGGCTTCGCCGCGTAACCCCTTCGTGGG